AATGTTGTTTTCACGCTTTCATCAGACAAACTCTTTTCTATAATTTTATTTTAATAAATCCAGTGTCAGGCAGGTAAAAGTACAAATACAACATTTCAACATTTTCAAATATTGCATCAAAAATATATAATATACATTACATGTATCTGAAAATATATTTATTTTTATATGTTAAAAAGAGCAGAGAACTGTCAGCGCAGTGAAAGAAAAGACTTCCAACAACGTCCAGACTCAGTCAGCGTCTCAGTCATCAGGAAGCACAGGCCTGAGTTAAACCTTCAGCTCGTTCTTATGGAGAACGTCTGGCTGTGTCCTTTCATATCCTTCCACCGCCGGAGATAAAGTGATCATTCAGTGTGAGCAGTGCAGCAAATCCTACGTTTCTCTCTTTGACAGTCGTGTGCTCTGGTTTTAATTAACATTTGTGAAACAGATTATAAACAGCAGCAGCAGCAGCAGCAGCATGTTCAGTGAAGGACGAACTTCTGCAGGAATATGCTGACGGCTGTTAAAGTCGCTGCTGTTATCAGGGACCAGGACTTTTCTGGAGCTGCAAGAGGAAAGACGAGAGGTTACAGAGCTGCATTTACAGTGTGAATATCACCTTTAACACACTAAAAATACGATAAATAATCAATACATAAACTATAATCAATGAAACAGCTCACAAGTATGTTTATTCTTTGTTGCTTATTAGTTGTTGTTGTTTTTTTACTGCTTATTGCTTTATTAAAACACTTCAATAAATCATCTACAACACTATTCAACCTGACTATAACACATATTAAAATATTAAAATATACATTAAAAAAATGATAGAAAATGATATCATTGTGTTTTCTTTTTGGTTTGGTTTCTTCGGTAGATGATTTAACATCACCGGGTCTCTTAACCGTAATATTTAAATGAATATATTTTGCCTGCGCGGTTCTTCCACCACTGCCTTTAAGTAATTTATTCTTTAATAAATTCTTAACTTCCTGCACTTTTGTTTTCTTAATTTTAATAATTTTTTAAGTTGTATTTTATCGTATATTTGTTTACGATTTAACTTCTCAGATCTTTTGACTTTTTCTGCTGTTTTAGTTTCTAAGTTGTCGTTGTTCCATTAACTTGCGTATTTAACAACTCCCTTTATTGGCTCTTATTAGACGTTTTCCCCTTTAACTGCTTTTAAACATTGAATTACGGTGAATATTTTGGGGGGTTTGTTTACAAGAATTTACAAAAAATAAAGAATCTTTCATGTCAAAGTGATGTCAATTAATTTGAAATCGAATTATAATAATAATACATTTAATATTATATTTAAAATATTGTATATTTTATATTTTAAATTAACTTTTTTGTATATAAAAAAAGTTAAATAAATTGACTGTATTCAAAGCAATGAAAGGGGACATGAAGTGAACACTGTTATTTTAACTGAAATGATTTTATCTCAATTTATTCTTGCTTTACTTTTTTGAGCTTTAATATGTTTTTTTATTAATGTCGAATACTTCTTTGTGTGATGAGGTGTTTTAGAGGTAACACTGACTTTTGACTTCCTGTTTTGTAAACCCGAGTTTTTAACAATTATACACAAATAAATGTATAACTATTATTAGAAATACACGTTTAACGTGCTGCTTTAGCTCCTGTGAGGCTTATTCGGTATTCTCAACTGGTACAAACATGCACCAGATCCACAGGTGACCCGGTGACCTGCGGCTCTTTACCTCGTGCCGTGGTGGCTGTTGTGGGGACGACGCTGACGGTGTTGATGACGGGGGTCAAGGTGGCGCCGGTGGTAGTGGTCGTGGTGGTCGTGATGGTGGTCGGCGTGTCGGTCACGGTGGTCGGCGCCGGCGTGGTGACCACCAGGCTGACCGGGCCGGACGTGACGGTGTAGCTGCTGGTGAACACGCTGCCGATCAGGGTCCGGTGGCCGATGGAGCGGGTGCACAGGTCGGGACACTTGGCGGACGGCATGGTGGCGATGCAGAGGTTCACCGTGCACCGGATGTACATCTGCAAGCACCAGGGTTAGCACATGTTAGCAAGCGCTGACAGACACGACGGATGAATGATGAAGGACCTCATCTACAAACTGTTCACACTCTGGATGATTAACAACGACCTCCCCACATAGCGCCCCATCCATGTGCAGCACGACGATGGTCGCTCTGTTGTAACATGTGCAGTATTACTTCCATACACCATAAAATATGTGCAGTTACCTACTCTGGGCGTCCATTTTTAACACTTTTCTTTTTTTAATAGAATGTGCTTTTTTAATATATATAATGTGTGCTTATTTTATTTTTTATAAATGTTTTGTTTTTGCTGCTGCTCTATTATTCATTTAATTCCATTTATTCCTATTTTTTCCTTTAAACACTGATTTTATAACACCGTCGAGGTAAAAACGACTGAGCTCAGAATTCACTCAGATTTACTGTAAAATGATCCTCAGAGAGAAAGTCAGAGGATAGAAAGTCCTAAACGCACACTCATTCAATCAGTCTTCTTCCTGAAGGGGGCGGGGTCAGCAGCAGGGGGCGGGGGCAGTAGGAGGGGGCGGGGCCAATGCAGTTCATTTAAAGTTACAGAAACAATTTAGAACTAAACCAGGAGAAACAGTCACAGAGAAATTAACCACAAAATTAAAAGACATGTTATTTACTATTATTAGCCTTTTTTTATGGTTTGAGCCTGTTTTTCCTTTGGTTCTACTTGCTCTTCTTCTTTAATCTCACATGGCCTCTTTGGTGCTTTTAATTTTATCCACTTGTTCTTACAAAATCTTATGTCAATCTATTTCGATATTTCAGTTTGGCTTAAAGTGGAAGACAAAGAGTTATCAGAAGAAAGTGTCGTCGCGTACAGCTGTTTGTTTTTTAGCTGTTTCATGTGGATCATAAATGTCTGCTTTGTTCGTATTTCTTCTCACAGTCGTCGTGAGCGATTTGTGATCTGAAGCTGCTTTGGTGAAACATTTGCACACGAACTGATGTCAAAATGCATAATTCACTGAAAAAATGAGCAGAGCTGCACGGTGCAGACCCTCAGGGAAACCTTCAGCGGTAGAAGAAGTCGTTTCCTGTGAGGCTGGTTGCTAACCGGAGCTCGATTACAACGACTTTCTTTAAAGGTTTTTCCAGCGCTGCTTTATCTTTGGACATTCAGAAAATCCTACACAAACAGACAAGTGCGATGAGATGACAAACCGTCGATCCTGTGAGCTCCATGGCTGTCATGTTCAGCCGGTAAACCCTGGAGTTATTTTGTGTGGTCATGATCTCGAAGGACTCGCTGGACATCATACACCTGGACGAGAAGGACGGACGGTTTGAATTTACATTTAAATTTCAGACAGAATCCTCTGGAACCATTAAAGGGACCCACTGACCCTTGGTCCACGATCGGACGACTTTCGGCAAAGTCCTCCGTCTCAGACTCCAGACATTTGCTCACGACCATCTCGGCCCGATCCACGCTGCAGTTGGACAACACATGGAGGTCCAGGGACTCGATCCTGGACCCGATGGCTGCAGCGGTGGTGGTGCTAGCGGAGGAGGTGGTGGTGTTACTGGTGGAGGCGGTGGTGGTGACGTCACTCTGCGTTTCTGACTCTGCTTGCCGACGAATTCGTCCTCGGTAGATGTTGTTGGTGCGAAACTGGGCGTCGGCGGTGAACCTGGACAGCGGCCCTTGTCCAGGAAGGTGGATCTCCAGCCAGACCTCGATCACTCCAAAGACCTCGGTCTCGGTGGGCATGCTGATCTGGTAGTTGGGACCTTTGACCAGAGTTGCGGGGATCCGGCAGGCCAGCGGCAGCATCAGGGAGGGTTTACGACTGACCATCGTGAACGGACGAACGCTCTTCAAGGTGTTGGTGTAAACCAGCTCGTTACCAGAGTGCTGCAGACAAACGAGGAGAAAAAACCAGATGAAACAAAGTGAGGCTTGAGCTGAACAGTACTAGCAACAACTTTATTTTATGAAGCACCTTTTAAAAGTTTAGGAACAGCTTTACAGGCAGGACAAGAAAGAACAGAAGAAAAGTCAAAACGACACTGAACAGTCCAAAGAGAAGGAGACCAGACAGGCAGCAGCGTAGAAACGATTAACAGAACAAAACCAGATAAAACAATAAGAAAAAAGAACAAGTGTAAAAGACAGAGTTACACCACAAACACAAGGCTTTTGTTTTGTCTCATCGTATCTGATTGCTGGTTGAAGATCATTCACCGTCACAGAAGTCTTGAAGGCAGCTCTGTTCAGTACGTCACTGTGACGTGTTCCACAGGTTTATTAAAGGGTTTTTAGTAAAGGGTTGTTCCTTCTGATTGTACTTTAGAAGTAAAAATTGTGGTTTTCAAGGTGTCTTCCACCTAAAACTGCACATAATTACTAGAATTTTG